ACCCCCCCCCCCGCATGCCCCAGCCCTGCCCCATCCCGTAGAGACGTCACTGCCGCCACCTTCGAGGGAAACCACTATCCACACACTACGGTTCCGAGTTAACATTTACACCCCAGCGCTGCGACGGTACGGCTTTGCTTCCACCTTCAGCTTCCTGAACCGAACCAGGGCCCCCTCCCCGCGAGACGCCCTGCGCACCGTGGGAAGGCAGATCCTACGGGATCTCTTCCCAGGTGGGCAGGAAACCTCCAGCTACTAAAGAAAGGGGTACGGGACCAAATTAGCCCGCATCACAGCAGTCTCATACTCCCGCATCCAGCCTCAAGCTAAGCAGCTCCCTCCTCCCCCCTGAGACCCCCACCCCCTTGCACAGCAGCCGCTGGGAGCTCGCTGGGGAGCACCATGGCCCTTCGTGCAGGACCCACGCACCCCGGCCAGCCCCTTCTCTGCGCCGGAGCGCGAGGGGCACAACCCATCTCTGGAACCACTAATGCCCCTGCTCCCGCAGCTCCCGGGGTCGGAGGGGATCCCCGGCACCGCAGACCAGCCCTGGGCAACACTGCAACGGAGCCAGCCCGGGGTGGGTGGCACAGCGAGGGGGGGGAACCACTAGAAGATGTCCCCCGGGGAGGCCCCCATCCCAGCTGCAGGGGAGCGGGGCGGGGAGCCGGGTGCTCTGCTAGGGTTCAGGGAGCTGAAGCAATCCGCATGTGCCAGGGTGGAGCCGGCCGCCCTGGCAGCCTGCCCCAGCTGGTGCCATACCCGTGTTGTGCAGAGCCTTGTGCAGATGTTTCTGTTCTTGCAATAAAGATATAAACAAAGAGGAGGTCTCCAGCCTGTGACTGTCGTGCAAGGTGGGCCGTGTCCACCACCGGGAACGGTGCAGGAATAAGGCTCCTGGGAAGGCCAAGTTTTGCACATTCAGATGTTTATTAGATTTCCATGCAAAGAGGAAAACTCTTTGAAAGGTTTGGTAGAAACGGGGAGCTGGCTGTTGAGCAAGGAGATCTCCATCCCAGCTCCTGAACACACGGCACGCGTTCACTCCAGCTGCCCAAGGATCCCGAGGCCAGCAGGATGCCTCCGCGCCCAGGAGCGCAGGCAGAGAACAGCCCAGGCGCTCAGTGCTTCTCAGTTTTGGATCACCACTACTGCACTTCCACAGCACGTGGCTGCATCCAGGACACCAGCACGTGCCGGCAGCGCAGGGCCGGCCTGCCAGGACCTGCCTCCTCCGGGTGAGGGTAACGGGGGCACTGGGCTGCGCGCATGAGACACCCCTCACAAGAGGCAGGACGCGTGCCAGGGCAGGAGAGCAGGCTCCCACCCAGCCCAGGCGGCCAGCGTGCCTCACCAGCTGCTTGTGGGGGTCTCTGTAGCGGGGAGGGCCTTCACCCAAGGCTGGTACATGGCTTCATTGGAAGAGGTCCCCTCTCCTTTCCCTGGGCTGGGCCTTTCCCTCGTGGAAGCCCCTCACTGGGTAAAGGCACATCAGGCCGTTGCCTGGGAGGCAGATTTCTTTTTGGCGAGTGCTGGGACTCGCACCTTCACCCAGGCAGGAAGGGTCCAGCTCCCAGCTGAGGGCTGCAGCACAAGACACCGCAGCAAGCACAGCGCTCCTCCACCCACAGGCGGGACGGACTTGCCTGGTGTCCACCTGGGCGTTGCAGATGAACCCATGGGGACATTGGGATGCACGCGTGCAGCATGCCGGTGACAGTCCTGCCCGCCATTCCCACCGGCGGCACGCGCTTGCCGCACCGCAGGCCCCTACCAGCTCTCTGCGCTTCAGATGGTGATGGAGTTAGTGCTGGAGAACTGAGATACGTAGGAAGCCAGGATGGGGTTGGTGGGAAGGACTTTGATGGGCAAATCCCAGCTGAAAGTGTCCACTTCGATCTGCTCCACCCCAGTCCAGGTGACGGCCTCCGACTGGCTCCCACGAACCAGGCAAGTCCCCGCCGACTCCCCAGAGGTCACAAACTCAAAGTGCAGCCTCCACTTCAGGGACACTGTGGGCAAGAGGGGGGTCAGCAGCCAACACCACAAGGGACGGGGACAGCAGCTCTCTCAGCGCTGGCTGTCCTGGCAAGGGGACATGCAAATAAGCCCACTCACGCAGACCAGCTCCCTCCCACAGGACACAGCCCTGCTGAGCAAGGGCAGGGCTGGGGACATCACGGTCCTCCTGCAGAGACAAGCAGGGGTGGGTCCCTTCCCTGGTGGCCACTAACCGATGTTGGTGGTGAATCCCGGGGTAGAGCTGAGCGGGATGGGCAGGCTGAAGCTGCTCTGGGCCGTGTGCAGGCAGGCCTCCTGATGGCGAGCGTGCGTGCTGAAGGAGACGGGCTGCCCCCGCCGGCGCTGGAACTCTTCCTGGATGCTCTCCTCCATCTGCAGGCTCACCGAAAACTGCAGGGCAATCAGCAGGGTGCTCTCTCTCACAATCTCACGCAGCCCTGGCGCAAAGCCCGGGGCCTCCCTTTCCCGAATGTGCTCAGAACTGGAACCCTTCCCCACCTCACACCCTTAGGGGACCTCAGCTGGGTCCCACAAGAAACCCTCAGTAGACACCCCACAGCAGCCCAGTGTCACCCCAATCCCTTCTTCCTCTCCCCCACCCGAAACCCCTGCCTCTCACCACACGGACCCCGAAGCCAGCACTGACCTGCAGACATGGGATGTCTCCTTCCGAGAAGTTAAAGGTCCCAATGACGTCCTCTCCGATCTTATACACGGTCTTAAAGATGCAGAACGTCCCCACCTTCCCACGAGTGTTGCTGATGTTATACAGGTCTGTGGGGCAAGAAGACGAGGGGAAAGGGTTGCAGCAGGATGAGGCTGTGCTCCATACAGCGCTCCAGAGCCTGTATGCTGCTTGCGTGTGAAGGACAGGCCCTGGAGGCGGCATTCCCTTTGGGAGACGCCTGCAGCGAGCAAGAGCAAACCACACGCTGGCTGTGATATGCTGGGGAGAGGGTCTCTCCGGCTGAACGAGGAAGAGCCCGAGACTGGCAGGGAGGAGCCCACGGGAAACTCTGACCCAAGGAGGCCCTGATGGAGCTGCTCCACAGCCCCAGTCAGAGCTTCGCTTTGCCAGCGAGAGATTTTCGCAGTGAGCCCTGAGCCCTTCATGCCCAGGTTAGGACAGCAGGTTCAAGCAGGGGATGAGACCTACGCAGGCTGCGTCGGGAGGTGGCCACCATGAGCAGTTCTGTTGCCAGGTCTGCCAGGCGAGAGTCTTTCTTCAAGCCCTCTTCCTCCTCCAGGAAGGGGTTTGAGGGCGCAACCGCCTCATCCTGTGGGAACTGGTAATCCTTGAGCCCTGGGGAGAAGGCGAGAGCGTCAGCGGGGCAGGGTGCAGCCAGGCCTGTGTCTGCAGGGAGGGCAGTGCGTGGCCTTACCGTGCAGCACGAGGACACGGAAGGGAACGCGCAGGAGCTTGATTGGGGAGTTGACACGCTGGCAGCCGATGGTCAGCTTGTACACGTACTTCACCGACTGTCCCCGGAAGGAGGGAGGGCCGTCTATGGGCAGCGTCTCACAGTATGAATCTGCAAGGAGTGCAGAAAATTGCTTTCCAAGGCCAAAAGGAAGCTCCCGGAGCTGTCGCTCACAGGCTCCCTGCACCGAGGGTTAGGAACAGCAGCGGGGCTGAACTAGGGACAGTGCCTGGTGCTTTCTGCTGTCTCCTCTTTCCCACAGCAGGCCAAGCACATCCCCGGCTTCCCTGCACCAGCGCACTGCTCCTCACATCACATGCGCCGTCATCCAGACATTGCTTCCAGCACATACAACCACACACACAAACTGCCTCAAAAGAATGTGAAAGATGTAAAATCCAGGAACACAAACACATGAGAGCTAAACTTACTCATCACGAGTTCAACCTGAATTTGCCTCTGTGCACTTCCTTCGCACACGGCTTTCACGATGCAGTCACACACTGCGGTTTCCTCAGGGCCCTGCCCCATGTGGCAGAGAGGTGCCAATCAATACCTCATGCCTCTTTTGATACTCGCTTTACACAAAACCCAAACTCAGCAACAAAAGTAAGTTTCTTCCTGTGTTTTTCTCTGAAGTACCGGGTCTGAACGGCCAAGAAACAATTAAGAGACCTTCACAACAACCTGTGGCGTATCCCCTTTGACAGACTGATGACTTAGACCACAAAGCCTCTGACTCCAAGACCTCTGAGATGCCAGGGCCTGGCTTTACACCACATTCAGCCTTCTCAAAGCCCCTTGGCCACCACACAAACCCCAACACTTCTCAACACGGCGTGAACACTTCTGCAGCTTTCCCAAACCGCACACTGTATAATAAGAAAGGCGCAAACAGTGAACTGTGGAAAGTCTCCACCTCTCTGGCTTGCCCACCGTGACGCAGATACACCCTGCCAGAGGAAGGGCAGCATCCTGCTGTGAAACCACAGATCCTTCCCCGTGTCTGGCACATCTGAAACACTGAGGCTTAGATTAAAAGCTAGGATTACATTTTAAAAGTAACTTCTATATTTAAAATAACACAACTGGAAGGAAGAAAAAAGCCCGTGCTAGTGCGTAGCACCCACAGGCCGTCACACCTTAAAACACAAGGCTGTCCCATTGGATCAGGGTGCAGATAAAGCTGAGAACTGTCCTGACAGGGAGGAAAATCAGGTATTTCCAAGGAAGGAAGCAAACTGCTGTAACCACCTGTACCAGGCTTAACAAGAGTGCTCACAAAGACAACAAGAGTGCTCACAAAGACCTTCATGCCCAGTGAGGATAATCTGAGCAGGGACCACTGCCATCTGAGGAGGATGGGCGGTTTGCTACCTGGCACAGGAATGCTGAGACTCGGGAAGTCCCAGCTTCCATGCATATCCCAGAAGGAAGCACATTCCTGGTGCTACAGATGCCTTCCTTACCCAGCCGCTGTACCCTCTGGCTGGACTCCCGGCCTGTGTCCAAACTGCTTCCATTTCCTCCCCTCTCGGTGATCTACCAAATATTTAAAGGTATTACAAAAATGGAGAGGAGGCAAAAACAGCCACAAAAATGACCTGAGGGCTTGAGAAAATGTTTTATGGTGACAAATTTGAAGAAGTCAGTCTGGGCAGTGTGTCAAAGGGATGGGAGGTGGGTCAACTTCAACATATAGGCACCATAACAAGGGGAAGATATTGGGGAATAAGCTGGTCGGCAGCTGAAAACAAGGCCTTTTATCAAGACACAGCCTGACACAATCTCAGCTATATGTGCCAGCTCTGGCTACAGTTTAATAACATACTACTTTGCTGAAGCAGAATTAAGATTTCTTGGGGGTTTTTTTGCCTTTCCAAACTGTGCAGCAAAACTCCAAACTTCTGAAAAACAGGAAATGAAGAATTAAGATACACACCCACACAGCCTTAACTCTGCCTCCACGGAGCTGGCAGGAGCCCCCAGGAATGATCTGCAAGTGTGCCAGCTGCAGTCTCGCGTGAGAGGAGCAGCACCGCAGGCCGACAGGATCGGTGTGAGCAGCCTGGCAAAGCCAGGGCTGTGATATGGGGGTTTCAGCACTAAATAGCCCAGTGCCATACACAGCGGCATCGCACGTGACACATGCAATGGACCTGTGCGTCACACAACCAAGGGGAAAGGCTGTAACATACAGCCAAGGAACCTCCAAGTGTAGAAGGGTTTGTGCCCTTCCTATGGAGATGCATCCAAGCACAAGGCAGAGGCAGGCTGCTTGTGCCAGTGTCACCCAGTGGCAGAGTGGAGACACACACAATACAGTATCACTGGGAAGGACAGACTATCGCTAGCTTAGCTGGGAGCTGAACAGCTTCTGCCTGCAAAGCCAGTGCACAAGGAAATCCTCTCAATCCATCCCATCCACCTGGAGGTTGGACTGTAGTTACTGATCTGCTCTCCCAGAGACCGCCGAGCCTGTCTGAGATGCTCCAGAAAAAGGGGCTTCCCCCAACTCCGAGGGAACGGATGCTCCAGCTCCACAACTGCCAGCAGCGAGGAGCACAGGAGAATCCAGGTGAGCCTCAGGCCAGCTGAGATTTCTGCCGCCGCCTCCTCCTCCCTGGCACGGCCGCTTTCAGAAAGCACAGGGGACCTTGGCTCCAATGCAGCAGGGCCAGTTCCCTTCCAGCACATGCTGCTGTAGAATAATAAGTAAATAACTAAATGTGCTCAGATGATAGGACTGCCAGCAGCGAGGAGCACAGGAGAATCCAGGTGAGCCTCAGGCCAGCTGAGATTTCTGCCGCCGCCTCCTCCTCCCTGGCACGGCCGCTTTCAGAAAGCACAGGGGACCTTGGCTCCAATGCAGCAGGGCCAGTTCCCTTCCAGCACATGCTGCTGTAGAATAATAAGTAAATAACTAAATGTGCTCAGATGATAGGCTTTGCAGTTTAGGAGGCACAGCCCCAGACAGCACTGCCCCACCCCACTAACCACCCAGCCAAGCCAGCTTGGTTTCACCCTGTCTGCCTTTCCCTCCAGTCAGGCCCCTCCAAGCCTAGAAAGGCAGGAGACCCCAGCTTCAAAACCAGCACGTCACAGCCTGTGGCTCCTTGGTCTCACTTGCAGCTCTGCCCTCACCTCCCCAGAGCTCAATGCTCCAGCAGAGCCCCCTCCACCACAGGCACTGCCTCTCCGCTCCCTTTGCTCTGTGACTTGAGAGGTCTCCGTCAACCGTTCACAGCAGATCCCTAGGACAACCCGAAGAAGCTGTCCACATGCAGCCTGCGATGCCTATGCTGGTTATGCCCTGGTTATGCCGCCACTGGACCACGGGCCGCTGGAACACAAAGGAGATCTGACGCAAACTGACAGGCTGGGTCATGCAGCCACCAACCAGGAGACAACAGCACATACTGTATTTTCACAGCTGTCTACTCAGGTAGAAGAAGCTGCCTGGAACAACAAAAATGAGTTGCTGCAAATTCCTTGTGAAAAGGATGAAAATTTCTCTAAACAGCAAAAGGGAAAGTAGTAATGGAGAGCTTAAAGGGGACCCACTGGAAGGACATCGTCCGAGGGCTCTAGAGACATGGAGAGCTTTGAGCAGAGGAGATGAGAAGTGCTCTTTTACAGCAGGAAAGCTAGAACAGGCAGAAGAGACTGTGATCTCCAGGACAGCCACAACCTGAAGAGGAAGCATGGACCTTCGGAGGATGCCAACCTAAATCCCAAGAATACTCCAGTGTGGCTGAAGAAATAAAGGCAAGGAAATGCAGGTGTGTGTAACCGTTCCTTCAGCTGCAGCCACGTATTTCAAAACGTCCTATGCGTCGCAGCTACACAACGGACCTGTGGCAAAGGACACAGGCCAGGGGCAGGACTGAGGGACACGTTGTGGTATACAGCCCTCATACGGCGGAGAACAGACTCTGGACAATGCAGCAGTTCCTTAGCACTCACGCTCCCACCAAAGCACCTTGCCTTCCGCGAGCACCAGGGCGTCCCACTTGCAGCACTCAGGCCTGCAAAGCCAGCTTGGAGAGCGGGGCTCCCCAGAGGCGAGCTCTCTGAGCCGGGGAAGAAAAGATGGGACTCACAGGACTTTGACTCCCCGGGATCCAGTCGCAAGTCACAGAAGAGAATCTTTGGTGGAGTGGACAGGATACACTGACCCCGCTCTCCTGGAAGAGAAGAAGAACCACGTGAATGCTGCCCAGCCTCGGGGCCCGGGCCAAGGAGGGCACTCACCGCGCCCAGGCCAGCCGGGCCTTATCCTCACGGGGAGGAATGGGGAGGAGAAGGGGTCAAGGGAGAAAAATCTCATGCCCCGGTCAGATCACAAGACATTCCCAGAACAGCTGGGCAGACAACCCTCACGTTTTGCTCCAAGCTAGCGCCACTTTGGTCTCACTATTAACAAGGTCCTGCAGCAGCCATCACCAGGGAATCACACAACGAAAGCCACACGGACTTCCCGCTCGCTTCTACGCGTGCTGGCCTCAAGACACACGTTATAGTCTGCTTGACTCCTGCTCGCTGCGCTCTCACCGTCCCTACCTGGGGTTACAGGAGTACCACTCACCTCTGTTGGGGACGAAGACTGTCTCGTTCTCCGCCTGCACGTCGTGCTTGCTGCCATCAGAGGGAGGGAGCGCTACCCGGTTCTCGCTGGCGTGAAACTGGCAGTGGATCTGGGCGCTGGCCCACGCCAGCATCTCACTGAGAGCAAAGAAGAACAACACTCATGTCTATGCTTTAAACCTGGATTACAGCAGGCATGAAGTGACACGCAGAGCAGCACTCCGGTGATAACGCAACCGTCAGGGAAGCGGGCAGACTCAAAAGCAAAAAATACCTGCAGCCTGGGTTCAGCTGCCCCTGCCCACAGCACCTGGCTGCCCCAAGCTCGACACTTCTCAGGGCAGGCAGGGCACAGCCGTGCTCCCTCCCCACAGCACTGTCCGCCTCAAGAACATCAGCTTCTGGTTGTGTCAGACCAGAGAAGGACGCTTCTGCATCCTTCATAAGGACCTGTTTTCTCCTCATGATGCAAGGGATTCGCTGATGGCTATAGGGGAGGCGAAGGTGTCATTTTGCCCTCTCCCTGTACAGCCACAAGGAGTGGGTTGCATCCAGCATGAAAAATAGTCTCGTGGTTTGGACTCTGCTACAACCTCAGCCATTCCACAGGGCACTTCCCATGGCATTACCAACACCTTTCAGTTTCCAAAACACTCACCTATTTTTATTTCAATAGCAGTCTCGTTAATTTAGCCAGTGTATGGTTTCTCTGGTGTTTTCTAACATCATGATCTGATTAGTAAGCACTGACACCAGAGTTTTAGGTGGCACAGGGATTTTTTGTGACACACGGGTATCTCTTGATGTGACACATCAGAGCAGTTAAACATCTAGACGAACCAGAGAAAAAGGCGTGCTGCATTCGTTTCAGCTGACTAATAATGAGCTATTTGATCTTTTGTATGTGCTGGCTGCTTTTACCCAAACACGCATTGCTTACTCTACCCAGTTACTTCTAACCCCACAACTGTAATTCTGTATCTTCAAAAGTACCAGCATGGCTTTTCCATAAGGGCTGCCATAAGGTTTTCTGGCGTAAGGTATTTGCTATATGGAAAGAGAGAGATGCTCCTGCTTAAGAGACAATGTTTACTAATTTTATATAAGCTTAGCATGACTACAATACCTTCAAACACCGTACTTTGAATCTTCTTTTTTTTCCCCATTTATTTTCAGTATTGCCCAACAATATGCCACTGGATTGTTTTCTTTTTTTTAACGAGACGCCCCAACAAAATTAGCGTGTGCCTTCCTACCAGCAGACCTGGCTTGTCCAGCTGGCAAGGCGCGGAAGGATCCTGCACTGGTGCTGAGGTTGCTTCCCTCCTCTCTCACCTCCCCCTACAACTCCTGTAGCCCACAGGAGCCGCGCTCCACGCAGCCTTTGGGCAGAAGAGCTTTGTTTCTTGTACGCCTCGTACACCACAATCAAATTTGCTTTCTGCCATTTACTTACTGTCCTTTGGTTCTGTCCCTATGCTTGAAATGCGTGCCTCTCAGTTCCTCCACCTGTGCCGCAGCTTTTGCTAGCCCTGAAAGCTTCTCATCCCCAACAGGTCCATCTGCCTGTTGCAGTGACTGTGCTTTGATCTGGCTCTTGCCTTTATGCAACCCACAGCTTCAACTTCCAAATCACCAACCTATTCGGTGCTGCCACTCGTATGACTTAGCCAGGTCCCGTCAAGTTTGGTCACCTGCTTTTTTATTTTAAAAACTTTCCTTTTTCCAAGAGGGGGTTTTCTACAGACCACGACACACCTGAATTTTCCAAATGACTGTGCTGCGAACCTCCAAAACCGCTCCACCTGGTACCTTTGCAGTCCCACATGTTTTGGAACTGGGAAAAACAGCACTGTCACCGCAAAAGACAAAACTCTGGAAAGCCAGATGCTTATGCCACAGCTGAATTTGAAAGCTGAATTCAGCAGGCAAGAGGAACCAGGAAGAAAAGATGGAAAGTTAAGGAAGGCAATAAACGAAGAAGCCCTACAGCAGTAATACAAGAGACTGCTTTGCTGCTGCTGAGACTGCAAGCACTGGATGTGGGTCCAGCAAAACAATCACGTGTGCAATGTGTACTGGTGATAACAAGATGCTGAACCTGACAGGGCTGGAAACGGACACTTCCCAGGAAGGGCTCAAGATGAGAAAGCACTCTCCACCCCCTGGAGAATCAGACAAGGCCACACACTCAGCGGACGTGGAGGCTTTGGGTGACTACTTATGATGTGGAGTCACCCCCTGTGAGCCAATATAGGAAGCTCCCATCTTCTTACATTTCCTCAACACCTATTTCGGGCACAGTAATGATAAGGGGAAATGCAGCGCTCAAAGGTTGGGCCGCAGAAAATGCTGCCACAGAAGGCTGCCTCTTTCTGAGTCTAGGCAGTGCTCGCCCCTTTGCCTGCCAGTTCTGGAGGCAGGGATCACACTATGTCAGCGCACTGCTGGACAGAGAGAGCTACTTCCATAAATGTAGGAAATAATTACGCTGTCTGGATGTTGCCCTGTGAGACCTCACCCTGGTGTAACTAGATATCCCGCTTTGACAGCCAGTTTGGCTTCATTTTCTGCCAGTAACCCTGTCGCTGAGGGCACACCTGAGGGGCAGTTAAGAGTATCTCTAACTACATACTTTTTTTCTCATCTCTTTCTTGGGGGCAGAAAACCAGTATAATTACCTCAGTTTCAGCCCTGAAATAGCAATGGCACAAAGCACCCTTAAGGGGGTACCTCAGGCAGGGAAGTCTCCCGTGGCTGAGCTGGCACCATTGCCCCACAACCCACCCATGACTACATCTGGCTGCTCAGGAGGGAGGGAGGGCCGTTCCCTCTGGAGGGACCCTGACAGCTCTGCCACTTTGAGGCTTCACGCACAGAAGGGCCCACTGGCACAGGCTGCCGTACCTGCTGGCGGAGGTAGACGAGGCCGATAACGGGTTGGTGAAAGTGATCACGCACTCCAGCACCTCCCCTGCCAGGAAGACGGGCCCACGGCCCAGCTTGGCCAACACCTCGATCATGGCTTGGACAGCCCTGCTGCACACCTGCCAAAAAAACCCCAACAGTGGGCATGGAGAGAGGGCTGGGCGCCGTCACAGAGGGGGAATGGCAACAGCCAGGCCGGGCACATGCACATGGGGTGGTCAGGGGGAGCCCCAGCTCTAGACACAGCACACGGACATGCGCAAGGGTCAGGGACAGCCCTGGCCTTGCACACACGCACACACGGGGGGGGCAGAGACAGCCCCAGCCATACACACAGACACACAGACACACAGGCAGAGGTGTGCAGGGGAAACAACGCGCAGCCGCGGCCATACGCATACATACATCCCCCCAC